ATGTGGGAGTGCTACAGGAAGAGGATGATGTGATGAGGGAGAGCTGGGAATGAGCATATCACGGGGTCAAAATTGATAAAATGATCAATGATATGATCAATGATCAAGGACGAATGAATGATCAATGATAGAATGATACAATGAATGATGATGCAAATTGTTATAATCATCAGCTTATGACGTATGATTTATATGTTGTGTAGGCACGAGGAATGATCCATCGTGAGCCATTATTCGTTTATTTAAAACTACAGTTATACCATTTCCCTTATGTTTAGAGTAGGGCAAGTCTCTGTTGTTCATTTTTTTCAGCGCGTAGCTCCCATTTTTCCGTGCTTGTCAGCCACTCGAGCCGGACCGAGTGTGCACTCAGCCTGTGTTGGCAGTAATGATGCGTGCCCGCACCAGTCTGGCCCCATTTCGGCTAAACAATGCCCAGGGGTACCGGCACAGAGTAGAATTTCATCCGCGGGTATTCCAGGAATGCGTCGGAGCGCGCAGTCGCTCCCTCCCGCGGACGGCGCCTCTCGAAGGAGTCAGTGTTACGGGTGGGAGTGGCGCTGCCGAGGGCGCCCTACGTTTACGGAAACAGAAACTGACTGAGGAGAGCAGCTCTGACTGACGGAGGCTTATAGAAGCGAACAGCTCTGAGCCGTTCACCTGTTCACGGCATTCAACGAAGCACGAAGGACAACCGTGGCGTAAGGTCATCTGATTGTCAGGAACAATTATGACCAGCAATGCATAGATCATTACATATTTCCTGATCATCACGGACCTCTTCGGACCATCTCAAGTCCACAGATCATCTCAGGGCCCCCGGACCACCCCGTGTCCCTAGCTTTCCTCTCTCCCTCTCTGTCGGCGCCCCACCGAGCACCGGAAGTTGTCCAGCACGCCGACCTGTTGACCGACAGTTTCCAAGGGGCGCCGCCGCGCGTGGGGTCCTCCAGCCCTCAGAGGACCGCCGCCCGCCGCCGCTGGAGGGCCCCCGGCGCCGCTGGACGCCCTGCTGCCGACGTCGGCAGTGTTTGTGAGGTCGAACCGGCCGGCCGCCCGCCGGCATCGTCCGTCAACAGGGCACTGTTTGCAGGCCACTGTGTTTGGGTGCCGACGAATTAGTGCGCTCTTGTCGCGGGTTCAGAGTGGGGCGGCGCGCGGCGGAGACGGGCGAAATGGTGGTGGTCGACAGAAGGCGCGAGCGGCACGGGACATGACGGCAGAACAGCAAAGATGGAGAAAAGGAGAGAGCGAGAGTGCTAGCCCAGCAGACCGGTCCGGCGCCGTCTCTGAAGATCAGTGGAGCCGCCACTGCCAGTTAGTGGGGCCCTCATGACGGCGGCTGTTTTTTGTGCGGCGGTTATGACGCCAGAACAGAGTGGGTTATGGAAACCGGATACTCCACGTGCGCGAGGCCTGACCCGCACATGCTACCGTGGACTGGATACTAATTTGACATTTTGTGTCGTAACACTGCTACTAAAACGAAACGCGTTGGAGGGAGGGCGGGAGAACGCGGGAGGTTGAATTTCAGGGTCTGGATGGGTCTGTCATAACAGCTGAGGCAATAAAGATTTCAAGCTGTGACGTAGCATACTTTCGAAAAACAGTGGCACAAAAGTAGGCATGCAACCATGCCAGCTGTAGCTATCCCAACAGGTTAGAGTTATGCGGAAATATTTCCGACTGCTGCTTAAATGCCACGGGAAACATTTTTAAAAAGACACACCTATCGATGTAAAAGATCATCCTTACTTTCTGATGCGCTCTGAAAACAGATAACTTTTAAAGGCAGCATTGACATTTGAAGTTGACATTCTCGTGAAAAGAAACACGAGAAAGAAAGAAAAATGTCTCCTTGGAGTGCCGTCACTGCTCCGCATCCCCATTTCCCAGTGTTATGCAGAGGCGGATCCAGCTCAGAGGTTTGGGGGGGGGGGCAAACCATAACAATTTATCGATTCTTTCCATGCATCGTCCATAGGCGTAATGTTAAAATTATGCCGTTTGGGGGGGGGGGCAAATGCCCATTTTGCCCCCCCCCCCCCTGGATCCGCCACTGGTGTTATGGACCGTGCGTCGTCCTCCGGAGCCCGGGTCCGGCCGGCAGTTCGACGGTCCGATTACCGCCCGCTGTGACCTGAGGAGGTCCGAGGAAAGGGGACAACAGGGGGTCACCGGACACCCCGTGCACGCCGCCCCTCTCTGCCGCTCGTTACACCAGAGCAAAGTGGGGACAGGCGGCGGGGACACGCGGGGAGCTGTGGGGACAGCCGGTGGGGAGCGGCGGCGAGCAGTGGGGCGCGGTGTTCCGCGGCCAGGGGAAGGGTCAGAGATGACTGAGGATCGGTCGGCGACCGTCAGTCGCCACTGACCGATGACCGCAGGTGGCGGCGGCCCACTGACCGCTCCCACGGTGCGGAGACGCTGCTGACGAGCCGCCGTAAACAGCCGACCCCTGGCGCTCTCCCCTGCCGACCCCATCGCCCTCCTGTGATGACCCACGCCGCTCTGATCTGGTGACCCTGCTGCTCCCCCTGCTGACCCCGCCGGCCTAATCGGTCGGGTGTTCCTACCGTCGTCAGCTGGCGCCTGGCCCTTCCGACAACGTCGGCCAAATCTGGTGACCCTACCGCACCCCTTTGAGTGATCTTGCTGCTCCCCTTCGACAACCATGCCGTCTTTTCCTGGTCACAAGCCACCACTGATCTTCACAAATAAGAGGAGCGTTCTGAAGGCGGTAATATAGATCAGTTAACTACTTAACTGATATACCATCGGGGAAATTGTTGTTACCCAAACGAGCAGGGAGTGATTACCATCTCTGTGGATGAACAATTATCACAACTCACAGACGCGTCATTAGGGTTATGTGGGACGCACTGGTTATTCGATGGGGCAGAACGATATATAATTTGGGCGTACGATGCGCTACAATAAAATAGAGCGCACACCGCACTCGATCTACGATAGGGCTTAGCTTGGACGGCATTGGATCTTTGCTGACTAAAAATGGAGCAGTATGAGAACGGCTTTACCGGCTGGTTGGTTGGTAAGAAACTTTGAAGTAAATAAGGCGAGTAAACCTACGCACAGGAACGGCCTAGACTATGAGAAAAACATCGGAGAAGCCGGGACGCGCGGAGACAACAGCATTGGCGGCTGGCATTGGGTTGAACGAGATGGTATGGCAGTCGCAGCTCCGCGCAACATCACTGTACCGGTATTTACGGACATGACATTGCCAGAATATTCACGTGGACGACAGGGATGTGTCTGCCTCGTCATGGGGGTCATAGGCTAGCATTAGCGACATCGAAATTTCATCCTCCGCAGTCATAAATTACACTCCCTGGGACATTGTAAGTCGGGCGATGGGTTGAATCGTACATTTCCTTCAATCGATTATTTTGAGTGGAAAACCGACGCCATCCATGCAACCGGATTATGCGTAAGCGACAATTAGAGAAAGCCGAGCTGCAATGTTTTTCAGTCTAACAACTAATGGCCTGCATCTGTACACTGATCAGAGAGAGACAGTAATTAGTGTCCGCACCAGTTTCGCGACCACCCAGGGCGGTGTCAGATGGCTCTCCACTGCCACACAACTGGTTCACGATAAATTTCGGCCATCCACTATCCGGCAGGGCGCGACAATGGAGGTTACCGGGGTGAAATACTAGCTGCTGCCTGCTGAGGGGCAGTTGAAATATATCCTGCACGCACTGGTAATAGCTCGACAGCAGCTGCCACCGAGCGTCACAGTCTTTTGCATACTCAAGCGTCCAGGACAGGGCACGGCAAATATCAAGGATAGAGGCATAGTGCGATAAAACTCAGCATCTTGCTTTTCGGCTTACGAGCCTCCACAATGCTTGTATATGGGCCCGGTAAAACTAGGCACTCTGTTGCGCTTATAAGTAGAAATGTAGCCCTTGATGTGATGCAGGGGAGACGGCTGCAGTAGAATTCCACTGATTTCGGACACAATTTAGCGTCCGTTTGAAAAAAGGTTCTTTGACTACGTCTACATTATGGTGAGGTGAAAAAAGTCTCTGCATAGCCATTTGTACAGCTGTTATGACATCACGCATTTTCAAGTTATGCGATTTGAATTTAGCATAATAGAATACGTTCTAAACTTTTACAGCTATTTTTAACAGTGTGTAATGACCATTGAGTACATTGTTAAATAATCTAAGATCGTGTAAAATATCGGTCAGTCGTCAGACGACAAAAAAAAAAAAATACTGTCAAAATCAATATTGGTTTGTCAGTTTATCTCTGTTTTCTTGCCTACTGATCATCATAAAAAACTGAAACACAAATGAAGAGTAAATAGGGATACCTACTGATATTTTACTCTCTGATCTGATCCAGTGCAGTCAGAATAGAGCTACTAAATATTTATGAAAACCAATGCCTGCAATAAATCATCTTTCATTGTCCCGGCATGAAGCTGTTCTGCTGCCTTTCCAAAACTTATGATGAAAAAGGACGAGTCGCAAATATTGGGGACTCAAGCTGTGGTCATCGTCACCGAAATCAAATAACAATTCTTTCATATACGTATCGTATAAATGTGATTTATGTGGAATCTTCTAACGCCACACAAACATTTCATGGGTGAGGAAGCAGAATATTGAAAATCATTCTTTTACATCTTTTGTTTGGTTTGATTTACAAGGGGTGATTTCGATTGAAAACTTAAAAATTTGGTGGTTTTAGTAGATCAATAGCCGTGTGACTGCAGGGGCTGGAAAGTTCAATGCACACTGTGTTAAGCGCAAAGCTGAAGATGATTTTTTTTTTTTATAGAAGTCATGTTCATTAGCATTTATTTCCTTTTTTGTCTTTTCATGCAGGACAATTATGCGATCAGCTTCAAGTAGCAACCTACAAACCCTTGTACGGTCCACAATTCAAATTGCTCTCAATACACTGGACTGGGGACAGTTGTTGGCAGGACGGTCGTGCCGACTTTGCCGGCCATCACTCACCCATGCCGGAGATGGCCGACTCGCCGCTGAAGCCAAAGTTGGTCACCAGCTCTCCGGGCGCCTTGTCCTTGAACGGGGTCATGCCCTGCGGCTGCGTGTCACGCTCGTCACTCCGTGGCGTCGCTCTCGCCGCGCTCGCACCGTCACGGCCGGCGCGCACGGTCGCGTCACGTCTGACACAGTCACGCCGACGGACCCGGCGGCCAAATTGGCCGGGCCGGCCGAGGCGCCGGCGCGCGATCAGACGCAGCGAGCCGACACGCCAATCAGCGTCGGCGGCGGCCGCGGGCGGCGCGCTGATTGGCCGGCCGGCCGCCATGTTTGTTCTGCCGCCGCGGATGATTGGTCAGAGTTATGGGGTGGCCGGGTGGGCGGCAGCGATCGCTGTTTGCCCGATTGAAATGCGTCAGAAGTCGCCGCCGGCGCTATTAGCACTGGAACGGGTTAACGGAGCAGCACAAATGGGGAGGGGGTGACGGCAAATTTAACCCGGCCCACCCTCACAGACTGTCGTTACTGCTGCCGAAGAACGAATGCCACAATAAAACCTCCCGATATAGACACACAGGCCAAAGACACAGACATTCTTCGCCACTATGACTCTAAATCAGGGTGACAGTTACATTTCATGGTAACTACAATGATACGATCTTTTCCGGTAGCTAAAGTGCGCCGCCGAATGCCTCGCGCCCGTCGACGGTGACACGGCACGTGCGTCAGGCGTCAGACGGGCGGCGACCCGCTCCGATGGGCCGCCACCTCAGCAGCGCGAGGCCGTTTGGTGCGTAATGTGGCGTGCGTGCGGCAGGTGGCGCGCCTGGAGAATTCAGCCAGCTAGCCAGACAGATCTGCCAGACAGACAGAAAGACAGACAGACAGCACAGCGGGCCGAGCTGACACGTCTGGAGGCCACCTCAACTACTCGATCTGACTGTGACACGATCAATGTCACACGGCCTCGGTCAAACGGGGCCGCAGATGAGAGGCAGGGACGCTGCTACGCGGACGCACGAAGTCCACTTCCATTAAAATACCATGGTACCCGGTCAGACGGGACTTCAGTCCAGTCAGAGGCCGAGGCCCAGTCAGAGGCGGTCAGGGGCCGACGCCCATAGGTGGAACATTGCAAGAATGCCAGGGGTGCCTTTCAGTGGTAACTGAACGGCGCCGTAACATTTCTGCGTAATATGTATATAAAGTATGTACCTACATCCGCTTCTCAGCAGCGCTGCTGCCCACACGACTGTGTTTCACTTTAAAGTTTTAACACATGGTATCCACCGATTAAGAATATTTTTATGGGAACTACCCAATTTCAAGGGGTGCTTTTGACACTGAGGAGTGCTCGAGCACCCTCGAAACCCCTAATCCTCCACCCCTGCCGACACCCGGTCAGGCGAGGGCCGGGGCCAAGTTCCACATAAGTGATGGGCCTGGCTCTAACAAATGTCTCTCTTTACGCAGGCCCGGGGAGACAAGGTCCGGTATATAGTGACTATATACTACTCATACCCCATAGGATCCATACAAGATATCTTGGCTCGCTACGCGTCGCGTTGGCCATAAAATAATTGAGGAAAAGCTCGCTGCAAAAACTGAGCACTTAAAAAAACCGCAAACCCACGCAAATAGAATAGTTATATTATATATGAGCACAAAGATCGGTTCGAAGGACAAATCGACGAGTTTTCAATGAGACGGGAGGGAACCGGTTCTAATAACTGCTTGCACAGCTACGGAGTCGATAGATTTTCGTTAAATCCGACTCCGACTCCGAATCCGGCCTAAAAATCAACTCCATCTCAGACTCCAGATATAGCTGTCGACTCCGACTGACTCCGACTCCCAGCCCTGGCAGGCCTGCGGAGTCGATTAATTTTCGGTAAATCCGACACCGACTTCCAAAATCGGCACCGAGTCCGACGCCAACTCCGCAACCACAGGTAGATGCGTTTCTACTTGACCATCCCACCTTAACATAAGTTTTGAGTTGAGATGGCCAAAATGGGGTCCCTGGCTTCTTGCACTTACCGGTTTGAGCACTCACAAGATCGAAAAATGCCTCAAATCGAAAATACGTCTAATTTTATTAGATTAGATACGTCTCGTATCTAATTTCAAAGTTACGGCACTGGGATTCAGAGGGGCTGATGCATTTATAAAATGCCCCCTCTGAATGTGCGACGTCAGCGCAGATCTAACGATTTTAAATCTTTTACCAAAACGTTTGGTAGCACTTGGTGGTATATGCTGCTGCCTGCTTTGCGCGCAACAAGTGCCGCACTTTCAAATAAAGTCGCTAGGAATAGCGACGATCTCAAAAAGTAAACAAAAGTAAAAGTCTAATATCTTAACCCGCGCCTGGCCGGGGGGTCTCGTATCTAATTTCAGACGTATCTGTAATAAGACGTATCTGTTTGAACACCCTCCCCCTGCGGTTTTTCGCAGATCCGCGCCGCCGTTTTTTGGCACACCTGTTCGTGCATCATTTCCGCACATGTTGTGAAAATTTCAGACCCAGGTCGCCTTAAGTCAAGTCACCAAGTCACGCCAAGTGACCTCACCTCAGAAAAAATAAGAATGCTCGTCATAGCTACACCGACTGATCGATTGCCTTGAAACCTTTCAGCGATTGATAAGAGCAACATTATCTATAAAATGTATATCTCGGAATTTCGATATCGGTGACCTAAGGTCAGGTCAATTTTGCGGCCTCTCCATTATGAGTCAATGGGAGAAAATTGAAAAGCGTCTGTTTTTCAGTGTCTAGAATAGCGTTCGTGTAAAACTTTTGCATGAACGCTATTCTAGACACTCTCAAACATCGATATGTAGTTAAAATTGACACGCTGAACCGGAAAATGGCAAGTGTGACCCCTCGTTATGTCCCCGAGGTCATCTCAGGTCACGAACAGAATCTAACAGTTTTTCGCTAATAACTTCTGATTGAGGCGTGCTAGAGCGCTGAAAACGCCTAAGATGTGTTCGGCTCGACGTTGGGGATCGACTAATGACCTTTTCCGGTCAGGTCATGACCTTGACATGATGTCAAATTTTCAAGTTGACCTTTCAAGGTCAAATTATAGTTCATTCGACACGTCTCGACGAGAGGAACACGGTGCTGGCAAAAGTAATGTCATGGCTCTTTTGAGTCAAAAGCTATTGCCGAAAAAAAAACGCTTTTCGTAAAAACGGCTATTTTTTGAGCTTTTGCCCTCTGGAGGCTAAACCGTTGACCTGAGGTCAAAGCTGAGAGCATTATTCAGAAAGGTCTGTAAAAGGGCTATCGAATGCGCTTTTTCGCGGCGCTGTAGCTCTATCGGTTCCCGAGATAGCCGTCGGCAGTTTCCAAAATGTTGAAATAGTCAACATTTTATCCATTTTATCTTACATTAATTTGACCTCAGGTCAAGGTCATGACCTGACCGGAAAAGGTCATGTTGCATAGCAGTCGATGCGTCTCGGCAAGACAAACACAATGAGACCATCCCCAGCGTTCTGTCTCTTTCCAACCGAGCATTATTGGCAAAAAGCTGTTTGAAGCCTCAAATGACCTCGGATGGCCTTTCTAGAGGCTATCAGCAAAAAGGACACCTTGGTCGTCACGGGTGGTCCAAATCATTGTGATTCTGAAATATTTGGACTGTTCCTATGCGTGTACACGGATCTAGAGGCATTTTCGTTTTTCTCCATTGACTTAGGTGGTATAATGGAAGCTGGAAAGGTCACGCCACTGACCTGCCCTTAGGTCACGGATATAAAAAAATCCAAGATATACAAGTTATAGGCGCCCATAACATCATGCAATCCACCAAGTTTAAAACCTCTGTGACAAACATTGCCGGCTGGACATGATTGCAAACTTTTTTAGGCTTGGTCAGTTAACCCTCGCCCGCACATGGGGGGGGGGGGGGGTGGTTGCCACCCCCCCCCCCCCAGGCAGTCTTTCTGCTCTGCACTCAACATTTTTAGAGCTAGAAGGCTGATTTTTCGTATAGCTGCTCGTCTATCCTTTCTTGATGTCCACTGAAAATTTCAAGTTTCTGTGATTTTTGGTTTTGGAGATATGACCTTGTTTTTCAGGTCATGTCATGACCCAAATGGCCAATTCTCAACATCTTGCGTTTGCCATGGGCCTTGTGAGCTTTTGACACCCTGATTTCGGCCTTTTTTGCCAGTCTTACCTCCCACCTATCATGGAACATGCTGTTCGACGATGTACAGGGGTCAAGGTCAGGGTCAAGGTCAACCTAGGTCATCTAAGATAATTGCGTTTTAGGCAAGCTGAATTTACTTTTTGTGAAGTTTTTTGACTGCATTTTTGGTAAAAGCTTCTCAGATCATGATTTCATGTGATATGGACCCAAAAACAATCGGTGCACACATCAGTATACACACAGACACACACAGACATACAAACACATATAATTGACCTTGCCCTAACTTGACCTGAAATGACCTCAGCAGCAAAATTCTGGTCGGATAGTGTGACAAAGAGGTTCTAGCTGGCTTGGCACCAGAAAACAGCATCGTCATCGGTATTTGATAAGCAGCGCACTTGATATCCAACGGTGACCCAAAACAGCAACATTTTTTAGTTTGACCTGACCTGGAAGGTCAATGACTGACCTGAGAAGGTAAAACTGGGTATCATTGGATTCGTCTCTTCCCAAAGAATCTTTTTGGTCTTTACTGCTAAGCTCTATCTCCAACAGGAACGAAATGGCGCGGGGGGTGGCAACCACCCCCCCCCATGTGCGTTCTAGGATGGGAAAATGGCATGTGCGGGCGAGGGTTAACCCTCGCCCGCACATGGGGGGGGGGGGGTTGCCACCTCCAGGTAGTCTTTCTGCTCTGCACTCAACATTTTTAGAGCTATAGGGCTGATTTTTCGTATAGCTGCTCCTCTATCCTTTCTTGATGTCCACTGACAATTTGAAGTGTCTGTGATTTTTGGTTTCGGAGATATGACCTTGTTTTTCAAGTCATGTCATGACCCAAATGGCCAATTCTCAACATCTTGCGTTTGCCATGGGCCTTGTGAGCTTTTGACACCCTGATTTCGGCCTTTTTTGCCAGTCTTACCTCCCACCTATCATGGAACATGTTGTTCGACGATGTACAGGGGTCAAGGTCAGGGTCAAGGTCAACCTAGGTCATCTAAGATAATTGCGTTTTAGGCAAGCTGAATTTACTT